CACATTATTTTCCGTTCTTCTTCCTTATTGTCTCTCCAGTTTCTACAGAAAAACTGTGAGTCACAACACATGAATTTTATCCAGGGGCCTTGGTTTATTTGTTTGTTTTGTTGTTGTTGTTGTTGTCTGGGGTGTTTTTGTTGTTTTTTCAGGGGGGAGGGGATGTTTAATTTATATTGGGCTCGTTTTTCTATTTTAAATCAATTTTTCTGAAAACTTCAAAGCATGACTGACTTACGCGCTTATGAAATGACACTAACAATAAACCTTCTCGATTGTCCATAGTTCGAGTGCGATGAAGGTGCTGCCGTCTCCTGTGTGAGGAACGGAGCTCAGGCCATGAAGATTTACGGGCTGGATAGCGGAGAGCTGTGGACATGTGGCTTGGTCATAGGCCTCAACGTATTGGTTTTCCTTGTCATTATGCTTGTAGGGCTTGTTTGGGTGCCACAGAAACCCCATGACGAGGGTTAGTTAACTTGTAATGTTATCATAGTACATGGCATGCCAGTTCGGCTAACACGAGAGGCATCACGCTTGGTTGATTACAGACATTCAAGAAATTCAACGTCATCAAATCCGTCTGATCTATAATGGAACTGAATATTGTTGTTGATGTTATTGGTGGTGGTGGTGGTTGTATGGTTTTTCCTTTTGTTTTGTTTTGAGGGGAGGAGGTGTTTTTCTTTTTGTTGTTGTTGGGGTGTTTTTTTTGCTTTTTCGAGGGGGGAGGGGGGTTGAGGAGCATTCATTTTTACTCAGTTTGATGTTTACACAATATGTTTAACTTTTTATGCAGATATGTTCACAGGGAGCAGGATTATGGAGCGGTAGTTTTGTTGTTTTCTTTTTTTTTTTTTCAATAGGTCATATGAGCACCATTTTCAGTAGGTGGGGAATTTTGAATTTTGCCCGGATGGCGGCCAAAGCCTACTATTATCGATTTTGGACCACCAAGTGATCTTTAACGTGCGCAAACTTGCACACGAACATCCGAGATTTTTTGCTTTTGTCTGAAAAGGCTAGGCGTAGATCTTACCTATCAAAAGATCAGGGGTGTGGCTTAAAGACAGCAGTAAGAAGGTGCCAAGGAGAAGCAATAGAAAGGCTGCAGAAAGAGTCAGGAGCCCAGAGGAGGGGGCAAAGGAGATGAAGGGGTGGGGCAGAAAGTGGAAACGAAAGCAGAGGACAGAACACGTTTTAGAGAGCAGGAAAGGATGAAAAAGGAGAAAATTTTTAGAGAAGAAAACTTTCATAGCTATCCGGATTCGAACCCGGGACCTATGGAATGAGAGGCGAATACCTTAACTTTTAGTTATAGGCCACGAGAGCCCCCGAGCAGTGTATGATGATGAAATGTTGGGTGACTATTAATGTTCTAGTCAACGACAAAGACGGTGCTCTCTTACGATTACCTTATCTACAGAGTATGAATCTGTATGTATGAATGTGCATGATACTTTGTGTGCTCTAATGGCGTTTGTGTGTGTGTGTGTGTGTGTGTGTGTGTGTGTGTGTGTGTGTGTGTGTGTGTGTGTGTGTGTGTGTTTGTGTGTGTGTTTAAGTATGAATATTTGTATGTACTAAAATATGAATGATCGTTCGTGTGCGCTTTGACCATAAGAGGACGAGAGAGAGACACAGAGAGAGAGAGAGAGAGAGAGAGAGAGAGAGAGAGAGAGAGAGAGAGAAACAGAGAGAGAGAGAGAGAGAGTGAGAGGGAGACAAAGACAGACAGACAGACAGACAGACAGACAGACAGACAGACAGACAGACAGACAGACAGACAGACAGACAGACAGAGGGAGAGGGGGGGGGGGGGGGTTAAGGCGGAGAAGGTGGTGAGATTTTTTTACAATATCAAATTTGTGCATGAAAATCATAATTTAAAAAACTGATTAGGTATACTGTGCATTTTGGTTCAACTAGACATTATTATAATTTGAACTTTTTTGAAAAGATCCTTGTGCTTTTTTCAGTTCTGATCATGTGCCGTTTACACCTTTACATTCATAACAACATCCCATTTCACTAAATGACGTCATGTGGCATCTTACAATAAGTATTTTAGTTCTCTTATTGTTATTTCCTTCCAAGTTTTTACGTGAAAAGTAGAAGTTGCAACGTCATGGTTTTGATTTAGACACATTCACTTTGTTTCACTCTTTATTCATGCTTTGTCGATACAACTTGAAAACTTAAATGATCTTAATGTGTATTTCTTTATAGCACAGCAAATATAAGTACCACTACCAGCCTGGCCCCTAAAGAATATAGTATAGGCCTACCTATTTTCATTGAAATTTGAAAACCATTGAAAATCTTTTGTTAGTGCTTTTTCGGTGTTTCCTCGATTTGCCCATTGGCGACATTAGCCTAATTTTCCTAGGCTTGCACACATATTTTGCTTGTTTGTTTATTAATCAATTTGAAGAAAATTGTAAATGATTTACAGTACTGATTTTTTCGTGTGAACTGCGAGCTTCATTAGAAGCAAGAAAAGGGAAATAAAAACATGTTTCGTTATGTTGTGAGCTTTGCTACAATGTGAGCTTTGCTACAATATAGATCTAGACCTATACTAGATCTAATCAGGCCACGAGAAAAACTACTTTATTATTGTCATGTTTACTTTATTGAATGTATAGATTCCATATTGTTGTTGGAAAGACTGACGGTGCAGTTAAGTAAGATCATTTTTAGCCGCCTCTGGTAGGGCAAAAATAAGAAGTGCTTTTAGAAACCAGCTACTTCTTCGGGAAAAAAAAGATTCCCCGGAAAGACAAATGTTCTTTATTAATATCAATATCAATATCAATATCAGTTTTATTTTTCTCAAAGACCAGCTGAATTGGATTCAAAGCTAAATCGCCGGTTTATATTTTACAAGAACGACCTATAGATCTACATCAAATGGTTGAAGTGATAGAGAATAAGGAAAAGTTGTTTATCATGTATCTTCCTGTTGTGCCTGATTTTGCAAAAACAATACATTTTTTTCTCCACTTCAAAAAACAAATATTGTAATTTTACATCAGGTTGGATTTATCTGATTTAATCTGGAATAAATATTAGAACAAAATGCTTCGACTTAGTTGTTCCACTTTGCATGAAGCAGCTTGAATGCAGTTACCCTTGATTTGTCTTTTACACATATACATCTAATTTATATTGAAGTGATTAGAGAATAACTGAGTTAGTAACCAAGGGAAATTTGTTTTTCATGTATCTTCCTGTTGTGTCTGATTTTGCTAAAACAATGAATTTTATAACTCCACTTCAAAAGACAAATAGATATCTAGATCTATTGCAATTCTACATCAGGTTCGATTTGTCTGATTTGATTTGGAATAAATTTAACAAAATGCTGCGACTTAGTGAAACTTTGCATGAGCAGCATGAAGGCAGTTACGCTTGAGTTGTTTGTTGTTGTTTTTTTAAATTGTACACTTCTAATTTATGTGTTTTGTTTTGGGGGAGGGTAGTGTTTGTTCCTGTTTCATTTTTCTCTTCATGCCCTTCTCGACACAAACGTCCCACTTCAGGAAGTGCGGAATTTGGCCCCGAAGTTCTGGTGATAAATTCAAACAGGGAGAAATGAAGCAGAAACGATACGTTGAATTAGGTATCACACTAATGTGTGTGTGTGTGTCACACACGCACACACACGCACGGATAAATATGCTATCGTGAGAAAAAAAATGGAAATGAAAGTAGCATTCAACTTGGACTCTGGAACTTTTTTAGACAACAAAGCCGAAATCGTACCCTACTATTGAAAGCGAAATATCTTGCCAAAATTTGTTGGTATTTGTTGAGCGTAACATAGATCTATACTGCATACTGTATACTCTATGAGGGGAGCGGCTGGGGATGACAATGTGAGTTTTGTAGTTTATGCGGGGTAATAAGACCGAGTGTTAAGTGTATAGAGACCTTGCTGTTGAGACGGGATATTGTGTTGTATAGTTGTTACTATTTATTTTTGTAATTATTTTTATTTCTTTTTTATTTTTGTTATCGTTATTACATTATGATTATGATTGCATTATCATTATCATTATCATCAATATTATTAATATCCTATTATTTTATTACTGTTGCTATCATTATTTTTATTAGATCTAGATCTATTACCATTATTATCATTAGTATTATCATTAGTATTATCATTACTACACTTAGCGTCAATAAAAACCAGACACATTTTAATTGCGTGTTTCATGAAAAATTGAAAACCCATTGAGCAGAAATTTTCCACACGTGATTGGGAACACTTGAGGCTCCTGATCAGCCTGCATTTATAATCAGGTGCCCAGTTAATAAAGCTCAGGTCTTGTTTTGTTAAAAAACCGTGTTTTGTCATTTTTCTCGAACGTTTTTTTTATGGGTTTAACACATCTTTTATCTGTAGCCAAGAATAAAACGTTAAAAGTTTCATTTCAAAACATCTAAATCTAAAGATACAGCATGCCGCGTTTAACGAACGAAGAGCGCAATCAGGCAGTTGGTATGCTGAGGGCCAATACGCCAGTAGCGAATGTTGCAGGGACCTTCAATGTGACAAGAGACACGATATATCGACTAATGAATCGTTTGCAGACGACAGGGATGGTCCCCGGACGGGTCGTCCTAGAGCTACAACACCAGCCCACGACCGGTACATTCGGGTCTTGCACCTACGAGATCGCTTCCGGCCTGCTATCAAGACAGCCAGGGAGTGGCCGGGACAGAGAACCATAAGTGCCCCGACTGTGCGCCGACGCCTCAGAGCTCAAGGTCTCATTCCTAGACGCCCTGCACGATGGATTTTGAGACAGTGGGATAATGTGATGTTCACAAATGAGTGTCGTTTCCAACTGCAAAGCAATGATGGAAGGCAGCGTGTCTACAGAATGTGTGAGTTCAGTTGGAGATAGACGTGGTGTCATGGCCTGGGTGGGATAACCAGCACAGGCCGCACATACCTCGTTTTCATCAACGGGAACCTCACCGCCAGACGCTACATTTATGAAATCATTCGCCCGCACGTCCTCCCGTTCTTGGCTCGCAATGCAAACACCATATGCTCCAGCTCACCGTGCCCATTGATTGATTGAGTAGATGTTTTACGGCACTATCGACACAATTTTGGTCATTTAAGCGCCAACAGGTTTCACCGCTACAAAATCAGACGTATTTTTAGTCAGAGTTTTTCGGAGCTCGCAACAGCACACGATCTCACTATTTTCATTATGCTAAAAAGACGAACAAACATTTATAAATAATTGTTGGTAAATATGGAAAAGGCTTATTTACATTTGTATATACAATATAAATTTCAGTGTATGTATATATATACACCGATAACGATAACTATATATTTTCATATTCTATTAAATAGTCCAATTTCTTTTTATTTAACTTAAAATTTTTCTTGGCTCTACGATGTCAAAAAGGGTCTTAATATCTTTACATTAAAAATATTTCTCACGAACATAATTAAATTCGACACATTCCGTTAGGATGTGCCGAACTGTGAAATTTGTGTTGCACGCCACGCAAAAAGGAGCTTCCTCTCCTTCGAGCAAATGTATGTGCGTGACGTGCGTGTGTCCTATCTTTAGTCGGGTAAAAATTACTTTTTCTCTTCGTGGTAGAGATAGTGGTTTCCTGGGCTAAGTTTCGGTTGAATGTAATGGAGTTAGTTGTGTATTTGTTGATTCCAGATTTGGGACCAGGAGGATGTGATGTGTTCTTTTACTTTCGGTTTCATGTTAGAGAAAGGGATTTTACTATTTTTGTTTTCAGGTAGTTTTAGAGATTCTTTGGCAAATTGGATAACAGCTTCGTTGCCACCAATGCCTACATGGCTTGGAAGCCAAGCTGTTGTAATAGTTTACTTTTTTCCAGACTGATGTAGAAAATGCAGTTTAATTATAAGTTTTAAAATTCTGTTGTCGGAGGTGTCAGAGAGCTCTAAAGATTTCAGACAAGAGAGAGAGTCTGAAAGGATTAGGAAAGTAGACTTGGTTGATTGATCTATAATATTTAGGGCCATTTCAAGAGATGTAGCCTCAGCAGTGTAGACTGAAGCTTCTGGGTGGAGTTTCCTTAAGCTTAAGCTGTGTGGCGATGCAAGGGCAGCAGCTCCTACTGAGGAGTCATTTTTGGATCCGTCTGTAAAGAGTTTCTCTGCTTCGGGGTATCTATTTATTAGCTGTTTGAATGAGTTTAAGTATGTAGTTTTGTCTGTAGACTTTTTGTTGTGTTTTTCAAGACTAGTATCTATGTTTGGTTTGGTTAAATGCCATGGAGGTATGCTGGACATGGCAAAGGGCTCGATTATGTCTTCAGAAAAATCAATGTCTTTGAGATGGTTCTGGATTCTTATTCCGAAAGGGCTTACTTTATTTCCTAAGGAGGATAGAGTTTTTAGATCTTCGGGAAGGCCAAAGACACATTTGTGGGCTGGGTTTTGGGGTACTGAGCTAAGTTTCAAAGCGTACTGCAAAGAGAGTTTTTTTCCTTCTAAGTTCTAAAGATGGTTCATGCGCTTCTGCCTGTAAACTTTCTACAGGTGAAGTACGGAAAGCGCTTAGGGCAAGGAGAAGGCCTTGGTTCTGAACAGGGTCTAAAATTTTAAGGTAAGACTTTCTGGCTGATCCGTAAACAGGACTGGCATAGTCCAGCCTGGAACGGACAAGGGAACGGTAAAGTTGAAGAAGTATTTCAGTATCTCCTCCCCATTCAGGATTGGATTATACTTTTAAGGCGTTGTGAGCACTCTGACACTTCGTCTTTAGGTCTTTCAAGTGTGGTAGGAAAGATAGTTTATTGTCGAAGATTACGCCAAGGAAACGAGCTTGTTTTGTAACAGGAATTTTCTATCCAAACAAATATAAATCTGGTTGTCGCACACATTTGTGCGACAGGCAAAAATGTACACAGTTTGTTTTTAATGTGGAAAATTTGAACCTTTGCCCGTTTGCCAAAGTTTCCAGTTTATGGAGTTGAAGCTGAAGCTGACTTTCAATGTGATCCATTTTGGATTTGGATTTATAGCAGATCAGGAAGTCGTCAACGTAAAGTGAGCAGTCAATATTGTTTTGAAGGGTTTTTGTGATGGAATTGATTTTGATTTCGAAAAGAATGGGCGATAAGATGCTTCCTTGTGGGACGCCTTCTTCTTGGGTGTGTAAATTTGATAGGGTTGAACCTACTTCTACTTGAAATGATCGATCTTTCAAAAAGTTTCGTATAAATTCGGGGAGATTTCCGCGTAAGCCCAAGTCATACAGGTCTTTTAAAATATCATGTCTCCATGTGGTGTCGAAGGCTTTTTCTCAGTCGAAAAAAATAGCCACAAGGTGCTCTTTTCGAATGAAAGCTTCCCGAATGAAAGTTTCAAGTCGGACGAGATGGTCAATGGTAGAGCAATGGTAGAGCGATTTTTGCGAAAACCGCATTGGAAATTGGATAAGGAGTTTGAGGTTTCCAGAAACCACATAAGACGTTTGTTAGGTTTTTCCATAAGTTTGCAGAAACAGTTTGTAGGGGCTATGGGACGGTAGTTTGATAGGTTATAGTGATCTTTTCCTGGTTTTGGGATTGGTATAATAGTGGCAAGACGCCAACTGTTCGGAAATTGTTGAGAATGCCAAAGTTCATTGTAAATATCAAGGAGTAATAGGAGTGTTTCGTCTGGAAGACGTTTGATGATTTCGTCGTGCCTTTGATCAGGGCCTGGAGATGTGTTTGATAGTTCTGCAATATTACATTTTAATTCATTAAGAGAAAAGGTGCAATGATAGTTTTCTTTATTTGAAGAGGTAAAATCAACAGTTGTCTTTTCAGAAGACATTTTTACTTTTTTGAATTCAGGGTTGTAATTGCGGGTAGAGGAATTTCCGGAGAGAGTTGATGTTATACAGTTAGCTACTGTTTTTTCGGTTTCTACGAAGGAGTTATTCGGTTTTAGGATGTGTTTGTGTCTTTTTTAGTACCTTTTAATTTCTTTATCATCTTCCAGACTTTGTGCATTGGTGTGTTGTTGTTGATTTTAGAGACAATTTCGAAAAGATGTTTTTGGGGCTGTTCTGATTTTTCTGCGTGCTTGGGCTCGCGCAATTTTGAAATTAATGAGGTCTTTGTTTGTTTTAGAGTTGACAAACTTCCTGAGAGCTGATTTTTTTACCGCAACAGCTTTTTGGCAGTCTTCAGTGAACCAACATTTATTTTTTCGGGGTTTGGTGGACAATTTTGGTACGTGTTTTTGAACGATTTCGAGAAGGGTTTTAATGAAATCGTTAAAAAGTTTGTGTTTGTGTTTGAGATGGATTGAGTTTCTCCAGACATTCCATGTGAAACCCATCCCAGTCCGCTCTTTTAAGATTGAAACGGTCCGGGATAGGAGTTCGGTGTGAAATGTCTGGAACTAGGTTGATGGGGAAGTGGTCCGATCCGTGTGGGTCGTACAGGACCGACCACTGAAAGTCTGGAATTAGGTCAGGATCACATAGGGTTAAATCTATGGATGAAAAGTTTAGGTTATTTGAATTTTGAAATGTAGGGGAATTGTCGTTAAATATACTAGTATTGGTTTTTGTTAAGACATTTTCTATGATTTTACCTTTAGTGTCAGTTGGTTCATTTCCCCAAAGAGGGCTATGGGCATTAAAATCTCTCAACATGATGAAGGGTTGTGGGAGCTGGTCTCTGATGTTTATTGGTTCTCTTAAAGATAGAGGATAATTTGGAGGGATTTATATTGAACAGATAGTCATGGGACGGTGTAGGGTGACCCTGACCGCAACTGCCTGAAGTGTTGTGTTTAGTTGTATTTGTCTGTGTAGTGTTTGTTTATTCATTAAATTGGAGTTCCACTGAAGAACTGCCATTTTAATTTATTTAGAGGTCGCCGGACCCCTGGGGGGAGACTTTCTTTGGTCTGGGGATGCCACAGGCTCTGAGAGCTTTGTCAATGGCAAAAAGGCTTAAAGAAGTTACTTTTTTTTAGACTCATCAGCTGAGGAGATTATTAAATAAGGTGACCGTCCTAGCGATTTTTGTCTAGGCAGGTCCCAGATACTGATGTTATCGTGCTCTCTCAACCGTTTTCTTTTGCCCTGGTCAGGATTCGCACCCGCTCCTCCTGACAGGGACTTGTTGGGAATTGGGGTAAGGAGAGAAATCTTTGATTTGATATCCATATATATGACGTTTTTGTTCATCACCAGGGCTCCCCACCCGCCACCGAGTCCAACAAGGGGACATCGCTCGGAAGTCCATAGCTGGTGTCAGGGCTACCCTGGAGGTATACTCCCAATCAGACGGCAAGAAATCTTGCCTTCTAACCAAGATTGGCCAAAACCGGTTCTATGAACCGGTCGCAATCGATTGAGTGCAGTAGGCCACTGCACCGGCCGGTCTAGACCGAATCCAGGGCCAAAGTGGCGTGTTGGTGAGGAAAGCCACACTTCAGCCACCAGGGCCCCCTTCTCCGGTCGTACGGGTCGCACCCCACTCACCGTGCCCACCTAATCACAAACTTCATTTGCAACACAATAAGGTCATCATAAGTGCTGAAGATCAAAGGCTTTACAAGAAAGTAACGAACACGAAAATAGAAGGAAAGATCAGGACGATAGATGTCCGATAGGAAAGAAGGACCAAACCACACCAGGGCACCCGCCAACCACCCGTTAAGTATGCAGAGATCTGACAAACATTCAAAATCAGATGAACAAGACAGGGTACAATTATATTTCTGTGCTTTATTTGTAAACTGTCTTGTTAAAATACATAAAAGATGTTATGTAGAAGAAGTATATTAAGAAATAAAACTCATTGCTTAGTTAACTGCCCTCACATCTGCACCTGCAGTAGCTAAAATGTAAATGCTACGAGAGGCTGTGAATATGTTATGTACAATATAAAAAAACGTTAGTATAAAAATATTTAAGAGGTTTTTTTAAAAATATATATTTAAGAGTATTTTTAAAGCGTTAAAATGTCTTCTGGGTGCCCGTCTTTATTTCTTGCCCTTGGTCTGACGTTGCGCTGCCTCTTCACCTTTCGCGTTGCTTTCAAAGTAGGAGATGCGGGTCCCCACATTCACCCCGCCCAGAGAATCGCGCCTGTTATCAGAATGTTCGTTCTGTTCGCTCACGGTTCCAGACATTGCACTATGTAGCATGACGCCATGAGCCTGCGGCAAAAAGTGTCCATCTTGAGACACAGCAGGGGAATAGGCAAGGGAAACAGGCCGTGGCCTCGTAGTCAAGCTGCCATCTCCAAAAGTAAAGTGTTCACCGTCTCCTTGGCTGGGTGTGGACGATGCATTCGGATGAACTTGATCGCACTGCGGGAGCTCGTCTGATAATGAGTGCTCAGACCTGGTGCTCATCTCGAAAGGCAGCTGTGTTTGCATAATTGGGGTTAGTTCCCCATCCCGTTTAATTTGAATGGCGCATTTCCTAGAAATTGTCATCGCTAGCTCATTCCATGCCTTTTGGAGACATTGCCTTGATCGGTTCATTCTTGCAGTGCGAGATTTTCCATTCTTTACTGCGGCATCTGTATCTGGTACGATTTCAGGCAAAGAGTTACTCATTTTCCCAGAAACCATGTCCAGATTCATACTCGCAATGGGCCATGATAAGTCCAGAACTTCTTGGAAGATTTCGGATTCGGACAAACTTCCGGGAGAATCCTTTTTGATCTCCTTAATATAGGTAGATATAACTTCACTCAGTTTCCGCAGCTGCCTGTATTCCGCCATGTCACTTGGCTCGCGGAAATTGGGAGGCAGTTTAATCAGTTTCTCCAAAATTTCCTCCCAGCTCTCCTGACCTTCACGACGTCGAGTTTTGCTCGTTTTCAGACTCGCTTGAACTTCTTTGATCGTATTGCCGACTCTATCCATCAACGACGTCTTCTTTTCGCCACAAGACTTGTTTTTTGTTGGGTTTTTCAGCTCTTCAATCGTCGGAACATTTGTCCCTGGGTAGCGGAATGGCTGGTCGTTTTCAACAGTCATGCAGTACGCCTGGAAATTAAAAACTGGTGCGTGCTGGAAAAAGGCCTGGTGGTGGGGTGAATCAAAGGTTCTTGGTTCAGTTTGGGTCGTGCGAAGTGGCAAGTCAGGTCGATTGACCACTGGTTGAGCAGGCACGCTTGCAACCTGATACGTGAAATGGTTGCCGTTGTAAAGGCCCACGGGCGTGGCTATGACTGGCGTGTTGAGGAATATAGCATTCGGGGGCATCTCTTGGCTGGCTCCTTGCTGCTCGTGGTTTTGATAGTTCTCAGGGAACCTGAAATGACTTTGCTCGTGATAGGCTGGGGTAGCAATCACCCCCGGCTGTGGAAAGCCTTGAGGCATAGGAGCTTGGACGTAATGCGATGCTGCTGGTGTTTGGAACTCAGCATGGCAGTTAGGAGGATTATACACAGACATTTGTTGATAATCGACAACCTGTGGGGTCTGTGCGAAGTTTGCTGAAGACTGGAAGTTTACTTGTGGCGTTTGTGGTTCTATGAGGTGAGCGGCTGGGGTTGAACTGGGCATGAAAACTGCCCCAGCCTGAGTTGCTGCGGTAATCACAGGAGCTGATGCTACTACCTGCCCATTGGCTTGAGCCAAATTCTGATTGTAAACAGTTACTGGTTGATAATGACTGAACTCGCCGTTTGCTACAGGAAATTGCGAATTTTGATGGGTATTTTCAACGTGTACATTTGATATTTGAGAAGAATCCCTCACCTTTGGCTTTGTTTGGTTTTCTATTTGTTTTTCATAGGAGTTACAACTATCATACACCGACTCTGATTCGTTCGATTCTATAGGTATTATGTAATTGTTATTTTTGTCAGACCGATCTTTGTTGGTAGATGGCCATACATTTCTAGATGTTTCAGGGTCATAAGTAGAGTTTTGCTCCAAAGGAACCTGACATAAACGACCGTCTTGTATACTGTTTGGTCGAAATTCAGACGCTTGAGGGTTTAGCTTCGAAGAATTTGGTGTTCCATTCTGTACACGTGGCCCTCGTTTGAACGGCAAGTTGAGGATTTCCGCCATGACCAGTTCTTCTTGAACCTCCGACAATAAACCATTGAGACGATGAGCTCTCCGAGTTGAAGACTCACGGTCGCTTGGTGTTTCATTTGGCGCCTGATCAGTTTGAACCAAAGGCGCATGGTTGAATACTGTATCATACTCCAGATGGGCTTTGTGGGCTCTTGATCGAGATTTTGGCTGAATACAGCCATTTCTTGTCTTATTGTACTCCTGGTTTTCACGATGATTTGTGTTTTTTTCTAAATTATTTCTTGGGTGAGGAACGGAAACAACACGTATATTGTTGGGATGGGAATGTCCATTCCTTGGTGTTCTTTGGATTAAATTCGTATTTGAGTCTGTGCGTGTGCCGTAAGAATAGTTACCAGCTGACCTATTTGTTTCAAGGGCGTGGTTCCTTACTTTTGAGCCCGTATCTGATTCTCGTCGACGAACGGGAGTCGGTGCAGATGGTGGCTGAGACGCTGTTTTTATCAGCCTTTGGTCAAAGACATTGGGAAGTTTTTTAGATAAGCGTGCATCATAAGACTGAGGCCTTGATCTAGGCTCAAAGACGGTAATACGGTTCATCTGTTGGGTTAGACCGTTAATATTTCCTTCGGCGCAGACATCATAGGCAGGTCCAGGTTGATAACAGTTCACCGCTGCACTCCTGTTCAGAGAAAGTTCGGGAATGCTTGAAGACCTGTAAGAATTTGTCTTCTGGAAACGGTCCTGCCGACTCCGATTTTGGTACCGATTTCGGTTCTGCGGATCGTCGAGTCCAAAATACTCCCTAGGGTTCTCCCAACCAGAACCAACGACTGGATTTCTGAGGTAATCCTCGTATCCTAAGTTAGGATAGCCAAACGCATTTTGATGACGAGCGTATGCTGGATTCCAACCTGGGTCAAAACCATCCCCTCGATGTCCAAGGTCAAATTCTGCCACGCCGTTCCTTCTTTCTCTGGGACGATGCATGAGCTGATGAGTACGTCGCGATGCGTGGTGAGGTGGATACCATTCTGGGCGGTCCATTAGCGGCATGTTCCGGCCAGTTGACCCATGCCACTCCCTGAAAGCCTGCGGTGTTGGGAAACTGTTAAAAGGTGGTGGTGTTCTCGGGGTAGATTCTCGCCTTTGATCCCATGGATCCATGACGTCACGACCATTGTTGTACCTCCCGTGAGGCCACCCGTCACCATGGCGACGCCTGGAAGCGGAGAAACTATTACGCCTAGGCTCTCGCCGACGAGTCTGGAAATTTCCGTACCTGTTATTTTTGTCTATAGCCGCGGAGGCCGAGGAGCCTATACTGCTGCCACTCTGACCTGATCGTGACTCCCCGGCTTCGGACGGTACGCTGAGACTGCGGCGCTTCTCTCTGCTTCTTTCAACAGGTGCAGGCTTTTTGTTGCTTTTCTCGTCACCGTTTTTCTTCGCGTTCGACTCCCCAACTGCATCAATTCTTACTAAATTATCGCTGCCGTTCCTAGTGCCGTTAGTGGAGGAAGAAGGTCCCAGATCGCCGCCACTGACATTAGCGTCACCTGTTTGGTGTTTCGGGTCAATTGGCCACATGTTCCCGTCTTTGTCCATCTTCCCAAATGGTGTAGTTGACGACTTTGGTTTTGAAATCAAAACAGGTATCTTTTCTCCAAATGCCTGTTGGACTGTGTGGCGGTGAACCTAAGAATATTAAGAGTGATAAAGTAAAGATTACTTACTAGCTTGCTTGAGTAAAGAAATTCAGATCGACACAATGATTGCTTAGTTCTGGGAGAAAGTAAAACAGACAAGACACAAACAGAGGAAATGTATGATAGTAGGACCTACCGTGGTGCCCTCCAACCACCCGCAGTGATTACTTGCCCATGCATCAGAAACTTTGTGAAAAACAGGACTGCATTGAAAAATTAACTGCACTGAGTAACGAGAAAGAAACGCCTCTTATAGATGTGAAAGGGCAATAATAGAGAGACAAAGATCCAAGGCAAAGAAAAGATGTACAACCTACCAGAGGCTTTCGGAACCAAACTCAAACTGCAATTCTAATATTTTAAAAGTGCGCAGAGGGAAAAAATATAAATAGGCCTGATGGGAATAAGGTTTATGGGAGCAAGTAATGGAGAGCTATGTTTATTTCTGATTATTCTTAACATTTTGGGGTCAGCAGTTTGTAACTGTCAAGCTATTGGTGACGCAAGAGCCTTTCCTAAAAAAAAAAGTTCGTCTTTATGAGGTACTGTTCCTTTTGTAGATGTATTCGGGGAGAAAGAACGGATATTCAATCATATCTGGTGTCAATAGATCCAGTGAATGCCACTGATAAACTGGGGGAGGGGGGGTATATGGGAAAGGTCGGTTGTTTTTGTTGGGTTGGGGGTTTTTTGGGAGGGGGGCGGGTTTGGTTGTTTTTTTTAGTTGTTTTAATGAAACTATTCCTATTTTTAGGAGTATTTTATGCAACTAAAGGGGGACACTTTTTAAAGAGCTTTTATGGTGCCCATGAAGGACTGTTTCAGGGCAGCCTGGACAAGAACACACAACGGCGTGGGATGCCACCTAATAGACATTATTTTGCTTCAAGTGCATTCGTTTCTCGAAAGCAATTGTTTTGTGTTCCAAAGAAAGTAAAGAGGATTTTTTTGTTTTTTTTAAACAATGTTCTTTTCACCTGAACTTTCTCTTAAACGTACCTCGTTAACCGCAATTGTATACAAAATAAAGACTTCTCGTAATCATGAAATTAATGGATATCTTTTGAGAGTTCTGAAGCCGGTGTTTGGTCGCTGAGGACGAATTAGTACAACAGTTGCGTAATTTCTATAAGTCAGACTGGTGCAAAGTGGGGTGAAAAGTACATCCTACGAGTGACAAATTCCAACCACCCACCTGGACAGAACCACAAACATGTTCTCTATAGGAGACTGAACCAAAACACTTAGAACTAAATCGTACAAGCTGATTACCTGATTATCCTGCTGAGCATTTCTCTGAGCAACCTCCAAATCCATCAACTGCCAATACGATTTCTGGGGAGGGAACAATTTTCAAGATTGTGTTACACTACTAGAATATTTTCAAGTTTTTCCTATTTTAGAAATTGTTTTACATTGATCAGATGTTCCGATTAAGGAGTAAATTCTTCCTGAGATACCCTGCGAGCTGAGTGCTCTTTTACAGGAACTACAATTTCCAACTATAAGGAGTTTTGCTACAACTGTCACAGCTCATTAAAAAAAAAGCCTTACGCCCCAAAAATGTTAGTGTCCGTATTGTATAAAATTTTCAGTTTCGTTTTGAACACGTTTCCTCGACTGGAATGTAGAATTTCAAAGCAATTTACGTCAAAACTGGAGAAATGGGAGTTGGTGTCAGAAAGCAAACTAAAGATTATAATTCAAATCCAATCTTATTAATTTGTACAGTTATATATAGATCTACGTTTTGTTATAATTAGTCGATGACTATTACTCCTGTTTGGTAGGAGTTTTTCATGCAGCAAATACGATACAACTGGATAAAACGTTTTGGATTTCTTCTGAACTTGAACCATATTTATAGACACAGCTATCCTACAATGTTTATGAATCATGTGTGATTTTCAAACTCGAATTTGTCTATACTTTTACCTACAGTAATCAAGCCATTATCAGCATAATTGTCCCCAGCCGCTCACAATAAAATAATGTAACAATTATGATACTGATGATGATGATGATGATGATAATGGAAGGACTTCCGTAGGCCTAACGAGCGACCACCCCAACAAATACAATAAAAAAAAGAGACCTAGATCTAGATCTAGATCTATCCCTTACCTTACCCCTACTCTACCCCAAACCCTAGCCCTAAACCTAACCCTAGCCCTAACCCAACCCCTACCCCTTCCCCACACCCTAACCCTACCCCAAACCCTAACCCTCTATTCTGTTTCATCGTGGTCGCTCGTTACGGAATTCCTATAATAATAATAATAATAATAATAATTAATAATCTGTTAGTTGTCATCGGGGCCGGACTTATAAGAAAACGGATTTCATGTACTGGGGTACTGGAGAACTGGGGAGAGGATTTTTTTAAGGGTGGGGGTTTGTGAGTTTTTTAGGAGAAAGGCAAGGAGGCCCTCTTCAAAATCAACCAAGAAACCATCGAAGGGCTGTCAATGCCTTGCTATTACATCACATACGGAGTTCTCTGAATCAGAAAAGTCCAAGAACGTGCCTTGACACCCACAATGAATGAATTTAGATGGCCAGTTAAACTATTCAAAATATCCGTCCAAAAACAAAATGGAAGGACAAAGAAGAGACCCAACCCTAGCCCAAATTCTAGCCCTAAACTAACCCAAACCCAAACCTAATGTCATGACCCCTTCCATAGGTAGTGGTCGCTTGTTACGGAATTCCTCCCCCAAAAGATGCAACTTTCGGGAGGATTTCCTTCCACGAAGATTGTCCGACGAATGCCGCAGAAAACACCTTTACTCCGATTCCTACCCATTGCCCACCATTTCACATGATCATCACTTCTTGATACTATTACAATGTAGTTTCGAAAGGGAAACTTAACCAAGTTTACGTTACTACTATTAATTTCGAAGGGGAAACATTTAGCCAATTTAACATTGAGAAAAGGGAAACTTTTAGCCAAGTTAACGTTGAGAAGTAGGAACAAAAAAGGCAAGAACAACTCGAGTAATAATAAGTGGACACTTCGAAGCAATTAATTACGTCTGTGTGCCTTATTAAATGATTAGCTTTCTATCGTCTTTTTAACTTTACATAAACCTTTGCTGAAGTCACCATCATGTGGAAATAAAGCTTTTAAACGTTCAAAATATAAACTTTTTCTCTGAAAGAAGTCTCATAAGCTACAGCAGAGGCAAAAGCCTGGTGATCACTTCAAAAGTTACCAAGCATCTTAATTATTCCTCTCTCTCTGTCGTTCAAAGGAGAAAGAGTTTCCTCGTGATAAAAAAAACCCACCTTAAAACAACACAAAAACCCTAAACTTGCACCCATTTTTATACATTATAAAACGTACCTTCTTCGACATCAAACTACTGTATCAAGAATTTGACAGCTCTTTCTCTTTCACCTTCAGAACTTATGGGCTGACATGAAGGCAATGAAATTAAACGATCCGACCTGAACACCAGCGATCTGCCTGACGGGCTACCAACAAAACTGACAACATGTGACCAGGAAAACCAAGTTAGCAAAATCATGATGCGTCGTCAAATTCGTGAGTGAAATTCATGGGACATGATTTGTGGAGTAACCATAGAATTATGTCTATGACAGAATGCGCTTTCGGCACTTCGTTATGTAGCGGGGAAAGTTGCATCTTCTTTTGGATAGGCATTCTGAAAATTTCAACAAACGAATTAAGTCAATGTGTGAGGGTACGGGACGGTCATAGACTCGTCAGATTAAGTGAACTCAACCAGGATTCTAGACTAGGAATTTAATTGTTTTCGAAAAAGAAAGTAAAGAATGCAAGAACGTGGAGTAGTTTTGGGTAATTTTTAATTGTTGCCCGTATATATCATAATTTTAAGCGAAATGTTTTACGAAGAAAATAAGATTTGATTTGTTGTTGTTGCTTTTTGATTGGTTTGGTTGTTTTTTTGTTTTTTGTGATGGGGAATGAATTAAAAATCGACTTGTCCGTGGTTTTTGGTTATGAAGGGGG